TTTCTGAGCTGAAGTGTTTTTTGCCATGATATTAAACGTTGAGCAGCTAATGCATTTCATGTCCTCTTTTCTCGTTCCATGTTTCAAAGCAGCAATTTAGAAAGAATGGTGTAATTTTTTTGCTCACTGACGTGTTTCGACGTCGCACACCAGCATCCTAATCATGGTTATATTACACAAACTAATCAATTCCAAATTAAGAAGTGAATTTTGAGTGATAGTAGAGTTGGATCTACTACTTTTTCCGGACTAACTGGTTGATAACATTCCAGCTGTCACTCAGACTACCTGATTGTGCATCTGTTACACAATCATTTTTAGTTAGCCGACGTATGAAACGATTCTTTGATTATCCCAATACTTGTGCTCTCGTTTTCAACGGATGTGACAGTCGTCAGACTAAAGGAGTGTCTCAGGTAGAAAGTGTGGGAGACGATGTCACATTGTTCTATTTTTCCATTCCTCAGAGCTGCTAAATTTTCTGCAACCCTTTTATACTATCTTCTTATGGTTTTCCCAAGGTAAGTCTTGTCACAGTCGTTACAAATAATCCTATGAACGACGTTGATCTGCTTCGTTCTGTTCGGTTGAGGAAGTTTCTGGTATATCCGCAATCCCAATGAACTGCTCATTTTATATTAAATTCCAAAACCTGCGTTTACCAGATGCTGCTTGTCTTTATTAAAGAGTTTAGGAACTAAAGGAATGACTTCCCTGATGTGTTTCTTATTGCTGGGCTTATTTTTAACGTTTAAAAACGGGGTTGAATAAATGTCTTATAAGTATTTCACTGTAGTCGTGTTTACATAGGAAATTTTTAGATATTTGATTTCTGGAAGGTAAGCAGAATCAGATGCGCCTGCCTGAAGGACTTAAGTCTAATTTTCTTAGCAACACTGTTAAAAACTAATTTAGGGGCACGGGACTGGGAGCAAATACTTGTTAAAATGTGGATTTTCGACAAACTGCAGAATCATAAGGTTTTTCATTTTTACTTCCATTCTTTACCAGCACGTCCAGGAAGCTCATTTGGCATTTGTCTTCGTTTTCCCTGTCATGGTTGACCATTTAGGATTTATCAAAGGTTGTAATGAAATTTTTAACAAATGTGCACAGTCAAGAGAAGCGTTAAATATCCGCGGGCATGTCATCCACAAACTTAGACGAACCAAATTTGTAGCGAAATTGGACATTTTATGAATTTTTCAAGATTATTCACATAGATCTGTAAGTATTACACTGACGGTGAGCGCTTTGGAATCCAAACTTATGATTGTAAATTTGACCTTGAAGGGCAAAATCGGTATTCAGTACCACTTTAAATGCCACTGATAGCTTGTTGAAAATGCTTGGTCCGTTCTTCCATTTATCCTTAGTGCTGTCCATTACATATGGAGGAGTACCATGCATTGGGAATGTCGTACTGACACAAGCAATGCCGTTACCTTGTAAGTAATCAGCTAATATTCTCCTGATGCTACTTCCTTCAGCTTCTCGATAAAGCCTTGTACATCGTTTGCTCTATATCGTATCTTTTGTGCATCTAAATTTAGCAAATCTAGTTGCTTGCTGACTTCTTAGGTTACAGTTGCGCAGAATGACGCACTATGATACGAAGCGGTTTATCCGTACATATGGTTCAAGGTAACGGCATGAATGTACAGTAGGCGAAAACGTCTTATTTCTGACCAGCTTCTGTTCGGACAAATCTGCTTAACAGATTGCCTAATCGGTCTCTCGTCTTCGTTTGGTTGACGTTTTCTCACTTTCTATAGTAAATTTCTTCAATGTGAAACTGAAGTTGCATCTTTTGAATATAAACGGATATTTCTATTGTAATTGTGCCGCGTCCTTTGTCTGGATTTATAAAAATTAAACTTTCGTTTCCGCTTTATTTTCAATTTAGATAATGTATCAAGTTACAGAGAGCTTGGTCTTTAGAATGAGGTCTGCTTTATTCACAGTGGTTCGGGTTAGTTGGCGCAGTTCGCCTTGCCCATTTTATTCACTGATTTTCATTTTCTGTGAGCATTAAACAGGACGATGAAGTAATTGAATTCCATCTGTTCCACTCCTACTCTGTTCATCTGCGGAGAGCAACAGGTAGGAAAATAAGAAAGCACTAGGCATTTCGTTTTTCGACATTCACACCCGTGCAGACGACGTGGCACTCGGCTGCGAATTGAATACTCTCCTTCCTATTGAGCGCTGGAGATCAGTTTCGAAAAATGCCAGCGAACCACGGTCGACTGCCAAAAGCAACCTTCTCATCTCCACATCTCATACGCTGATACACTCATCGCCGTCGCTTGGGCTGACCATTCTCTCAACGTACAACGCAATCAGAAAGGGGTACAAAACGCAGCATTGACGGAAGTAAGTACTAACATTGGAGGTTCTACGTAACGCCATTTACTCCGACGCAGTACTGCTATCAACACATAATGACTAAATGGCTCATAGCAGCTGGCCATCGATCCCTTATGTTTGTAGGCATGCCCATGGCTTATTGCGCGGGATCTGCTTTCTTCAGATCTACAAAGCACATGTAAACTGGATGGGCGAACAATCACGGTTT